GCTCAAAACGTGTTTCCCAGTGACCCACCTGCTGCTGCAAGATCCTGACTGAGCACACACAGGGCAGTTATCTGTTGCTGGTCTGCAAAGAATATACTGCTTCAGGGTTATCCACTGCACTCGTCACGACCTTGTTATTTGACACCCACCCAGAGTGGGGCCGGCGGAGCAGTCATTTCATATAATTCCCTCACCCCTGTGTTGATGGGTGTGCTGTCTCCAGGATTTTGGAATTGAAGGAGGAGAAAGAAAAGAACAGTGTCTTCAGTGGACACTTGTTCTGGCTCAAAGCTCGAAGAAGCAGAAAAGGTCTGTCTGCAGGAAGAGAGAATGAAGCAGAAACCCAGAGAGGAGCAGAGATGAAAGAAGGGAAACCTGATGGCTGTTCAGTCCCTGATTCTTGTCCCACCTGCATCTCAGCGCTCAGCCTCCAGGAGACACCTTGGACCCTTATGACAAATTCCCTGTGTTTCGAGTCCGGTGACTCAACTCCAGTTCACTGAGAATCCTCATACCGGGAACGTGCCACTAACTCCGTGTGTGCCGTGGGCCAATTGCTTAATCTCTCTGGGCATCGTTTCCTCATCTGTCAGCTGAGGGTCATAAGATTCTTCATAGGATCAAAGGAACTGAATCAAATAATTTAGCACAAGTGAAAGTGCCAGTGAGAGTGCTACCCACATGGCAGGCCTTTCCCGTTTATTTCTTCCCTAAGAGACCGAAGGCACCCCCTAAAGGTCTGGGGTCATTCAGCTATTGGTGATGGGTGGTTGACACCCAGAATTAAATGAAAAATCAATTCTTTCACCCGCTTAAAGAGGACTCGAGCTTTCAGTGCTTCTAAAACAAGAGGTGGCATCTTTCTCTGGATTAGCTTCTTGAGTTTGCAGGTCTAGACATTTTGTCTAATGAACACTTCTCATGGCCTACTGGTACCCATTCTCTCATTCTTCTCTGACAGCCCCTAGCCATCCCTTCCCCATGCACCCCATGCTCAGAGGAGGGAACTGGCTTCGGTCCTAGATTCAGGGTGGGCCCTGGCTTGGTAAAGTCAATGAACATATTCCATTTCCCCGGGCAAATCACGGTTTTCAAGAGGCCACCTGGTCCAAGCAGTGCACGTGAAGCTGAACCTTACTTGAAATGTTGGCTCAGAGATGCTCTCTGTTCCTCTGGATGTAAAGATGGAAGTATGTATCCCTCTTAGCTCCTGACAGTCATCCTACAGGCATGAGGGAAATTAGCCTCCTCCCCTCCCCTTCCCTTCATTACCCTCCTCCCCCGTGGGGAGGAGCTCTGTGAGAGAACCACTCAGGAAACGACTAGAGGACTCACCCGTGCACCTGGACTTTGGCGGACAGAAGGCGCAGCGTCTGCCGCCCACCTGAGAAGTGGAGAGGCAAAGGGTGAGGAGGGGCTGAGCAGGGCTGCACGGGCAGCCAGTGACCTCCCACCAGCCAGTGCTGGACAGCAAGCGTTCAGATAGCAAGCTACCTGCACTCGAACGTCTAGAAGGATCGAAACCAGAATATTAACAGTGACTGTCTGCAGAGGGGAGTAGAGTTCGGGGTTGAAAGGAGTGGAAAGGAACTCTCTGATGTTTTAATCCAAGTAGTTCTATATTGCTCAAATAAAACATGTTCACAGGCTACAAAAAAAAAAAAAAAAAGGAAGATAATTTAAAAAGTACATACAATAAACAACAGTAAATTGTTTCCTCTAGGAGGCAGTACTGGGAAAACACTTGTAGCGATTTTAGATTTTCATTGTGTTGAAATTTTTACAATAAACATGTTTCATTCTTAGAAGCAGAAAAATATCCAGACAGCACTTAAAAAATAAATGAATGAATGAATGAACGAGTGAAAGCCACCATACGGGCCACACAGAACTCCCAACTAGTTGGGTGGGACTGCAGCTCCCCTGCCCCGGGGCGGTGGGGGGTGTGGGGTGGGGGGGGGGAGGGGGGGGGGGGGGTGTGGGGTGGGGGGGGGGAGGGGGGGGGGGGGGTGTGGGGTGGGGGGGGTTATCCAGCCAGGACTGCAGACTGTCTGTGTTCAGGAGCAGTGGTGGTTAACTTTCTGACAGGGAAGCTGAGGCACACTGGGAAAAGGAAGTCAAGCAGGGGGTTAAGAGAGAGGTAGGGCAGGGCTGGGACCCAGGTGTCCTAGTAGCTGGCATCATGTTCTTTCCATGAGTGGTGTTCACGTGGGTGGTGGCCAACAAGGGGACTTTTCCTCCTCCACCCTCCTCCAACAGCAACAGAGCAACTCAACCTGTTTGCTCTTTGGCAAGTAAATGAGACTGGCGAGGTTTATTGTTTGCCTTTGTTTTTTTTTATTGCTTTGTTTTTTTACAACATTGGATTCCTAGGAAAAATGAAGAGAGCACTATTTACTACTGTGCCCCTATAGAAACCTGGAGGCTCTGTAATGACTGTAAGTAACTTCACGCACTCTCCACTTCTCCTTACCTACACATTAGCTGCGGGTTACTGGGGAGGTATTTCTGGAGCAGTAAGTCTGATGAAAGAGCTCTACAGCCTAGAGCTTTGCTATCCCCAGGGTCGGATCTTAAGCCATCCATACCAGTTCCTGGCAGAACCTCTCCTCTCTGGTCCGAGCCCCCTTCCTATTGGCTCCTGGCCACACTCTCCCATCCCCCAGGACTGACCTGGAGAAATGGGCTGTTCCCAGAGTTCACGTGTCCTTGACGCATGGCCAGACTCCACAATAACTTTCTTAATGAAACAGGGAAACTGCAAAGTTCAAGTGGGTGTTTAGCACTGAGCTTTGGCTCATACACTCAGTGATCAAATAGCAGTAGAGAGTCCTCAAACAAAGACCATAAAGTTCTCATCTCGACCTTCTTGAGGAGAGATGTTTGGGGTCTGGGAGTTCTTCAATAGGCCGGGCAGCTGGCTGGCAGGTGTTGGGAGCCGACTGGGAGTTTTAAGCAGACAGCTGCTGAGTCTAAGGAGCCAGCTGATGCTGCAGAGGGAGAGACCCCTAAGGGGCCGGGGTCCCCGAGCCTCTGCTGGTTTCAGCTCTGACTGTGCTTAGATTTGGTTGTACCGTGTGTTGGGGGATGGTGGTGGGGAACGTCAGCAGTGACTTCCCCTTCCTTTATGTCTCCGGGGACCCTCCACCCATTTTCTCCCACGTCTCCATCCTGTTCTCTGTTGGCCTTTGGTCAGCTTCCTACAGCGACAGGCATGAGCAACAAAGGGCTTTGTGTCTTCTGAAAAGGATGTTGAAACGGAACTGAACATGCCTGTGTTTTCAGAACCTCCCATTTGCTGGGTTATTAACCTTTCTGTGTGCCGTGAGCTCACTCTTTTGGCAGGCTGGCCAAGCCTGTGGACTGCTTCTCAGAATGCTGTTTCTAAGGCCTAGAATAAGTACAAAGGGAATGGATCAAATTGAAATATAGTTACCAAACTATAAACAAATCTGCCATATGGAAACTAAATGCTACTTTATTAATGCATTGAAGGACAAAATCTAGCAGTAGATCTAATAATGACTATGCTTTTGAAGAGGTGATGAATGGAAGTGATAATTCACGGTCTCTGCAACAATTGTGCTATGAAAACACATGTGACTCTGGCAGGTGACAAAGTCACAGGTCCCCTGCTATACCATGGTTTGTGGCCCACATGCTCAACCGAAGGAAAATCTAAGTTGTAGTTGGAAGAGCAGGGTGTCATCTTTTCCTTACTTCTATTTTATAGACCCTCTCAGTTCTCTCTGTGGGCCTCTGACTGAGCCCCCAAGTCAAGGCTTCTGCCTGCAACAGGCTCTTTGCCTGGTAGTGCTGGCCTGGGTCTTGCAGCCAGGCCCCCACCTTTACTCTCACCCCCGCCCATAGACCTCACCCCCCCTTCAGCCTCTCCTTGGTGCTCTTTCCTCAGGGCTGGGGGGGTAATATTGTCAGATTTAGGTGGACTTGGCAAGAGGCAGGGATTGTATGGAGCTCCCCCAGTAAACCAGCAGGTGGATGGGTGATGTCAACCTCCAAACCCAGGTCTGTCAGCGCCCAAAATAATGTTCTTCCCAGCAGGCCCCAGTCATCCACGAGAACTTCCCCCAAGAGAGCAATGACTACTTCTGCCTCCCTCTAGCTCAGGAATGGTTCATCTAAACAAAGGGCAGCCAGTTGGACCTGCAATAAGAATTTTCAAATGCTGCCCATGCAGTGGAGCGCTCAGCTGGTTTTGCCTGCCTGTTGGTCAAGGGCTCTGGTCTGGTGCACCCCGACATGAAGGCATTTCAAAATGTCGTTTGGTGAAGATTTCATAATGCCTTCTCCCGTCACGGGCCCTCTTAAAACTGAGGAAAAGAATCCAAGCCAAAACCTCTCCCTGCCAAAGCCAGACACTGGCTTGTGTGTTATAGTCTCTGAAATCAGAAAGCATCTTTGGCTGGACACAGGGGAAATAAAGGTCACACAATGTCCTGCGCACACTGCTCCGAGGCTGAACAAAGGCTGATCCACAAAAGGCAGGTGTCTGCTTCCACTTTCTTTGCAAAGGACTACAGAAGCTGTCCACCAGACAGAGCTCTTTCTGAATGGCTCATCTGTCCCCGCATCACACGGTCACCCTGCTCCGTTCCCTTGATGGACTCAAGACGACCTTGCGTATTTCACTCATTCATTTATTTACCCATTCGCTATCCATCTTTTGTTGAGTATCTAGATATGTGGATGAAGCTAATCTGACCAAGCTCATAATCATTGGATTAGATTCCCTTTTAAAATGGATGTAAAGGGGCGCCTGAGTGGCTCAGTCAGTAAAGGGTCATCTGCCTTCGGCTCAGGTCATGACCCCAGGGTCCTGGGATCAAGCCCCACATCAGGCTCCCTGCTCAGCAGGGAGTCTGCTTCTCCCTCTCCTTCCCCCTGCTCATACTCTCTCTCTCTCACTCAATCAATAAAATCTTTAAAAAAATAAAATGGATGTAAAGCTGGGTTCTTATGTTCCTTTTTCTTTTTTCTAGAAACACTTTCAAAAAGAGGATACTGATATCAGAAAGCAACTTATACATAAGCCTGTGGATTATGGCTGGTTGTTAAAAATACGGAAGAGACTGAGCTTCAGTTCTGATCTGAAGGACTAAAGGACGGAAATCTGTCCTCCCTCCCCGGCAGCCAAGGCCCTCTGGATGGCCACAGGACAGTCCTAACCTGTCTTCTCAGCACCGTCCTGTGTAAACCCTTGGCTCCAGGAGTTCTGGTCTGGCTTAGTCTTATACCATCTCCCCGACAGGAAGCATCTCCCTGTCCCTGCTTCGGCCTTGAGAATCTCTGCCATCCCTTAAGGCCCAGAGGGCGCCAGATGTCCTCCAAGGGGAGGGGGGGCTTTCCTGCCCACAGTGAAGTGAATGCCCTCTCCTCTGAATGGACATGCTGTTGTCCACGCTTTTTATCTGACGATGCCACATGAGTTTTATGACCTCGTAGGCATTAAATGTTGCTCTGTGACTTGTGACTCGGCCGTGATTAGGTCTTCTCTCCAAGTTCTGGAGGCGCTTCTTCATCATATTCCTTACATCAGGAAGGAATATGTTTTGGTTTTTTTTTTTGGTGACCCCAAGCCCTTGTCCCTTCATCCCTGAATATAACCATATCAGTAGTGTTAGCTGCCTACTTGAGGCCAGGCCTTGTTTTTTTTTTTCAGCTTTATTGAAGTGACAAATAAAATTGTAAGATATTTAAAGTGTATAACAGGGGGCACCTGGGTGGCTCAGTCGTTAAGCGTCTGCCTTCGGCTCAGGTCATGATCCCAGGATCCTGGGATCGAGTCCCGCATCGGGCTCCCTGCTCTGCCGGGAGCCTGCTTCTCCCTCTCCCACTCCCTCTGCTTGTGTTCCCTCTCTCTCTGTGTCTCTCTCTGTCAAATAAATAAATAAAATATTAAAAAAAAAAATCTAAAAAAAAAAATAAAGTGTATAACAGGACAATTTGAGATTTTCACATTGTGAAAGGAGTCCTACTATTGAGTTAATTAGCACATGCATTACCTCATATATTTATCTACCTTTCTGTCTTTCTTTCTTTCTCTCTTCTTCTTTCCTTTCTTTCTAGTGAGAACACAAGTTCTATTCCAACCCACAAAAGGCAGATGTCTGCTTCTGCTTTCTTTACAACTGATTTGATTTGGGGGCCTGTCCCTTGGGTGGCAGCTGCGAAAGTTGGGGCATTAGATGTGTGGCCGAGCTCCTTCCAGGCAGATCACAGTGACTGGATGTTACTGTTGGAGCAGGCTGGTGGGGAGAAGGCAGGAGGATTTCGAGGATGGCAGCTAGTCCCTAGCTGGGTGCTAGATTAGAAGCCAGAGCCTCAGGCAGCAGCATGGAGAGTGTGCAATCAAATCTCCACCAGGGAAAGACGGGGAAATGGGCACTCCGGCCTCGTCTCCTTGTGCTGAGCCCTGGGGAGAGAGCGGCAGTGCTGGGCACCCACTAATAACTATTTCTTTGCTGGCTTTAGTCCTGTGGGTCTTGTGGACACAAGCCCCATTGGCTTTCAGAGCGAGGTGTTTTGAAGGCCCATCTCTCATGTGGGAGTCTTAAAAGTTGGGGTGCTAGTTGTGTGGTCCAGACTCTTCACGCCTCACAGGTAATGAAATCCCCTCCTTTTAAAAACAAGAAAATAGAGATCCGGGTTGTAAAAGTGAATTGCTCGAGGTCATATAACTTGTTCATAGGTAATATTCCTTCCTTCCAACCCAGGGCTTTCACTAGGAAAAAACTAACAACACGTGTGAATTTTAGAAGGCAAGACAAAATTGACTATCAGCTTACTACTCCAGCTTATACCCAGAAAACAAACATGCCCAAGAAGATTTACATGGTAAAGATCCTGGTGGTGCCAGAGGCATCAGGGATTTCTAAACTTTACACTTCAGATCAAACAGATGCCTGAAACCGCAAAGCAGAAGCTCAAAAGGTTTGGTGGTTAAAAAAAACAACCAAAAAATGAAAAACAACTCCCACGTCCCATGAGCAAAAAGCCCGGCCTCTGAATCGGGTTCACTTACTGAGAGCCGGGGCAGCAAGTAACCACTCATGCTGTCTTTCATGTGCTCATTCAGTCAGCAAATCATCTCCCTGATGGAGCTTACTCTAATGATGGGGACAGAAACGTAAAAAGTAAGTAAAATCATTTTACTTTCGTAAAGTAAATTGTGTAAGACAATGACCTCAGTGAAAGAATGATGAGAACATACACGAGCAATAGGAATGAATTCTCACTAGGTATGTGCCATGGGGTGAGCACCTTCTAAGTGCTCAGCATGTAGGAGTTTATTTAATCTTTCCAAAACCTCTATGAGGTGAGCAGCAGTATGCGCCCAAGGTTTGTATTAGAAAACTCAGGCACAGAATGGTTTCGTAACTTTGCCACAGACCCTCAAGCTGGTAAGTGGATTTGGGCCCTCTGGCTCTGGGGCCTGCATCTTCCACGTCTCACTTCTGTTCAGAGGACAAGGCAAATGAGCAGGTAGCTTCCGACCAGAAGGATTGGGAAGGCTTCATGAAGAGCTGGCATTTGAGTTCATCCCTGAGAGTGAAGGAAAAGAGCGTTCTGGGTTAGGAGAGGAGATAGAGAGATAAAAAGAACAGATGTACTGGGGGTAAGCGCCTGGCATGGAAGGAGTAGGTGGGCGACGTGGGGGAAGGGGGGTGTGAGCCCCCTGACAGTTGTTTGCACATTATTCTGAAGGCACTGGGAACTTTTCTGAGCAGGGAAGGACTCTATTCTAACACTTTCTATCTATCCCTTCAACCAATATTTATTTAACATCTAATTAAATGTCTGCTTAAACACCTAATTGAACACCTGTTACGTATTTATCTGACACCTGATTTGGGTGATGGTAGAGGGGAATAGTGTCAGCGATCAAAGAAGTATAACTGAATTGAAGACACAAGAAATAACATTTTTCAAAACCGTAGACAAGTTAAATGATAGGATACAAGGGGGTGTTCCAAGGTAGTATGTGATGAGTGGTTTGACAAACCACACGGTTTTGCAAATTTCAGGGTATATTAATTCTCTCTTTGGCTTGGATTGAGGGTTTGCAAGGGCAAAGTAGGAGAGGAGTCTGGGAAGCCTGTTGGGGCAGTATGTGATGGAGGCCTTCAATAAGGGGACTACCCAGCCAGCTAGCCCTGGGACTCCCAGATGCAGGAACAAAATGGTCAGTTTTGGAACTGGCTGCCCAAGCACCCTGTCCCTAATCCCCATCATGCCCAAGGGAGAGCAGAATTCCTGCCCTCAGAGACTGGGAGTCGGGAGCCGGCTGATAGGGGCCTGGCTGTCTGGATCTGGGCTGTCCCGGGCTGACCATGTGGTCCCATAATTTAGAGGAAATTCCAAAGCCTCCCTGCTAGGCCACATCCTAAAGGTATAGATTTCATCAGGAAAAACTGTCCAAGATATGGAAGTGGGCAAAAGTGATTCCATACTAGGTTTTCTTTCTGATTCCATACTAGGTTTCCTTTCATTTTGGAGTCTCTGTCATTTTCTGATTCTATAAATTAGTGCAGTTTGACTGATTTCTTATTAATTAGGCTATTTCCCCAACTCTGTAGGAATTGAAGTAAACTTGTAAAAAAAATTGTTAGTAATGCAAGTGGTTCTTATCCATAGCAATACAAATGAATTTTGTCTGGTAATAAAACAAGTGATTTCTGCTCGGTAGAAAAGAAAACCCCAAACATTACATTCTCTTGCACTAGGATATTAATTAGTTTTGCATGTATTAGCAAAACCATTTTAAGAGGTTTGGTTAGGAAACCTCATTGCCTCTCTGTTCCTAACATTCTCCTTTGAAACAGTCTTAACATCTTACTGGTGCCCTTATGAATTAATGCGTTTGAGTAAAATCTTTGACCCGTGTTCATTTTATATTTGCCTGAAAGTCATATTTTTACATTTTTGGAAAAATCATCCCTTAACACTGTGAATTCCCACTGTGAGTTCTCCAGCATCTAGATTAATCAGAAGAAAAGAAATGCCACAATTTCCATTGAAGAACCAGAGGTAGTTTCCAGCAATTCTGACTGTGGAGCTTGTTGGCAACACTTTGAGAATTCTAAATGGAGTTTTAAACAGATGCTTTATGAGAAATTAGAAAAGAAAGGGGAAAAACATTTACTGCGTATATTGCCAGTTTCCATGCTGGGTGATTTACATATGTTATCTCACTTAATCCTCAGGAAATCTCTGAAATAGGTATTATTGTCCTAATTTTGCAGGTGAACAAGCAGGAAATATTTGAGTAAGTACGGGAACACCCGTCTGCAGGTGAAGTCATGTAAGTGGAAAGTTACAGTCAGTAATGGTTCATGAACCCCAGTGGTTAAAAGGCCACACTATAAATAAGGGCGTAACATGCAATAAACACGTGAGTGAGAGGATAACCAGCAAGATTAAAGTCCTAAATCAGTAAAACCCGTGCTAACGCTCAGCTGCGCTCTGAGTTAACGTGGGTAGAGCCTGAAGGCTTCTGTCGGTAACCTGTTTCTTTAGACCTCGGTTAACAACAGACCCTCCCACACATTCCCCCCTCTGCTGTCTGCCTCCGCTCCTGAGCAAGAGAGAGCGAACTGAGGGTCCAGTTCAGTGCCCGCCTTGGAGCCCGGATACTCTCAGGGGGATGCGTGCTCCGCTGGCGGAAGGCAGCGCCCCCCACGAGGAGCTGAGGGAAACAGAGTCACCTCCTAGAGACAGGAAGGGCAGACCCCTCCGCTGTATCTGTGATTTTTTTTTTTTTAAGATTTTATTTATTTATTTGATAGAGAGAGGCACAGCGAGAGAGGGAACACAAACAGGGGGGAGTGGAAGAGGGAGAAGCAGGCTTCCCGCCAGGCAGGAGCCCGATGTGGGACTCGATCCAGGGACTCCAGGATCATGACCTGAGCCGAAGGCAGACACTTGACGACTGAGCCACCCAGGCGCCCTGTATCTGTGATCTTCATCTCCCTACAAGATTTACTGCAAAATGGCATAATGCTAACACTTCAAAGCTGGGTAGTGACATTTTTCTCTGTTCTTGCCTCTGCATTTCATAAAAAAAAAAATAATAATAATAATGTTTATTGTTAAGAAAAAAAACCTGGAGGGAAAAAAGTTTAATTTATTCGTTTTGATTTCGGCCCACCCTCTCACAACAGAGAGGCGAGAAGGCAAAGGGAAGCCTGGGATGGTGCCAGGCGTTCTCCACACCCCTCGGGAGCTGGCGCGGCCCCTGCGGCTCCCAGGCCACCGGCTCTTCCTGTCAGGCTCTGGCCTCCCCCCGCGGTCAACAGCCCTCCATCTCCCCCCGGATAGATGCCTCTTTCTCTCGGGCACCATCTCTTGGAAAATGCACGACAGCCCAGGGAGACCCCGCAGGTCCGAGATCTGCTGCCGTAGGCCCTGCGCGTCTCTCCAGGCCTCATTTCGCCTCTGGCTCCCGCGCCCCGGCTTCAGTTCCCCTCGGCCCTACGCTCCGAGTCTTCCGCTCGCCTGTCTGCGTCTGTGCCCTTCAGCTCCTCGTCAGCGTCTCGCGCGTCAAACCCGGGTCGGGCGCGCACGCCTGACGCAGAGCGGAGAGTTCCAGGGTCTGCAGCCGCGCCCCTAATCTCCGCGCAACCAGTCGGAGCCCGGGGGGCGGGCCTAGCGCGGCCTGCGGCGGACCCGGGCCCGCCCGCTCCGGCCCTGGGAGCTCCGCCGTCGTCGGCCAGACCCGGCCCGCCGGCTTCTCCTCCCTCACTGCCTCCTGGCGGCTCTGCCCGAGTCGTTTGGAAGAATGTGGGCCTCCCGCTCCAGCAACACGGGAGGGCGGCCCCAGGGGAGCGCCTGTCACTCCTCCCCAGGGCGCCTGCACAGACCCCGCGGAGGCTGAAGAGGCTTTAAGGGCGTCCCGCGGTCAGCGCCTGCCCACCGGCTCTCACACGAGCCCCTGTCGGGCCTTCATTTTGGCGCCGTTACCTGAGGCGTCTCAGGAGCCTTCCTTCTCCCTAAATCCCACCCTTAAGTCTGCATGGTAAATGGTCTTCCTTCCCTCTCACCTGACGCCCAGGCGTCCCTCGGGACAGTAGGTCTGTCGTGGCAAGCTTCGACGGACACCTGTCTGAAACCAGGCGCCCCTGTCTGCGCGGGGCCCCAAGCCGCTGAGCGGCTTGCTTCCTGTCAACAGAAAGCGAGCAGCTGGGCTGCTGTGCCTCATTGGTCATGAATGTCCGCGTTCTTCTGAACCACCTGACTGCCCGCGCTCACGCTTCCTTTCTGAAACCCTGGGTTTTTCCTAATGACCTTTCCGAGGCCTGGTCATGCGGCGTCCAACATTTCTACTTCTAGTTCTGGGCTCTGAGGGGCCCTGAGAATGGAACGGGCTGCGGGTCTTCCCGCTCACCGCTCACGACGGGGCAGGCGCGCTGCGGGGAAGGGCAGAAGACGAGGGAGGGAGTCGCTCTGCGAGAGGACGCGGGCAGGGGGAGAGGAAACGAGGCCAGCAAACACAGTCCTCTGGCTGCCCTCCTCCTAGGGGGTAAAGGTGAGTCAGGAAAAGCCTTGCAAAGGAGCCACACAAGGCCACCTGGTGCCAGAGCCAAGGGGAGGCCCACACGCCATCACTGCCTGTCGGGGTGGTGAGAAGTGACTGCCGACTTTTCGGATGGCAGTTTCAGGAGAGTGGTGGGGCCTGAAGGCAGACAGACTGGACAAGTTAAGGAATGAGTGGGAGGCTGGCCAGTGGAAATCCTACATGTAACCTATTCTCACCATACTGTGTCACGAGAGGAAGGGAAGAGATGGCCCCGACATGCCAAGGGTATCCCGTAGCGAGAACTGGTTTGGGTTGATTGTGTTTGTTTTTGCCCTGGAGAAACAAGATGGTATACAGAGAGGAAGGCCTGTAGAGAAAGGAGGAGACCGAAAAGGTGGGGAAAAAAGGAGATGATTGAGCAAGCCCAGTCCTCGTGAAGGAAGATCCTTGGAAAATCAGACCAAGGTGGCAATCCGTATTAGTTGGAGCAGCACGTGGTGCCCCGTGGTGCCCCGTCTGACAGAGTCAGACACAGCTGGGGTAGAGCTCTTGGCTTAGCGTAAAGGTAGCATCTCTTAACCCCCAAATCGGAATCTTGGCATCTTATTAGTGCATGGACCTGGAGCCCCAAGCCATGTTGTGAGAAGGATGTAGGCCCCCGAGGGAAAGAAAAGAGGGTAAGTTGGCTGGCTTGCCCAGGCACTGTAGGCCCTGAGCCAATTTACTCATGCAACCACCTGGAAAGAGGAACGAAAGGGAAAGAGAGAGAGAAAACACACACACAGAGGATGGCCAAACCCACAGAGCAGGCTGAGTCCATTTTTTTCTTTCAGTTACCTACAAGGAAGACTTAGATGAAAAAGTAAGAACAAGTTATGCCTGAGTGGCTCAGTCAGTTGAGCGTCTGACTCTTGATTTTGGCTCAGGTCATGATCTCAGGGTTGTGGGATCAAGCCCCACATCGGATTCCTCGCTCAGCAGGGAGTCTGCTTGAGATTCTCTCTCTCCTTCCCTCTCTGCCTCAGGCCGCGCTGACTTGCTCTCTCTCTCTCTAAAATAAATAAATAAAATCTCTAAAAAAAAAAAAAAAAGTAAGAACAAGATGCTCAGGCCCTCAAATAGATTCCCCCAGCTTTTTCCACTTCCTTCCCTTCCACTGCATGGAAGCACTGGAAGAGCGGAAGAAAGCCTCCGGGGGCGCCTGACTGGCTCAGCTGGAAGAGCATGTGACTCTGGATCTTGAAGTCGTGAGTTCCAGCCCCATGTGGGGTATAGAGACTACTAAAAAAAAATAATAATGATAAAAAAATAAATAAACTCTAATGCAAGAAAGCCTCCAACCCGAGGCCCGGGATCTAGTGTACCCTGCCTGGGCTCCTTGGTAAACACATAACAGACCTTCCTAACTGGTGTGGCAAGTCATTGATCTTCTCAGTCCCAGGAACAAGCCTCAGCATGGGTGGTGGACAGCCCTAAATTTGTGCCAGCCCGTTTTTTTTTTTTTTTTAAGATTTATTTATTTATGTTTACAGAGAGAGAGAGTGAGCGGGGGAGGGAATCTCAAGCCGACTCCCCGCTGAGTGTGGAGCCCAACTCAGGGCTCGATCTCATGACCCTGAGGTCATGACCTGAGCCAAAACCATGAGTTGGACACTCAACCGACTGAGCCACCCAAGCTGTTCTAACACAAAAAAACACTCTAATATCTGCTGAATGAACGACTACCTGTATTCATTATAGTTTGTATTAGAAAAAAGATCTTAAAAAATCTATAACTAGCACAGTAATCCTATTGAGAGCATGAACGACACTCTAAATTTCTTTTGAATATCCCTGTGTTGAAAAAAATATATAATTAGCAAGTTAAACCCATGATTTCACAAATATTTGTTTGTACAAGGCTAAGTAAAAAAAAAAAGAATTGATTTAAAGTTGATTTCAGGAAAAATATAAGCAAAACAAAGTTACAAGGAGATAGGGCAGTCATCAGACTGAGATCCACCATCTCTCCCATTGCCTGCAGCACCCATGTGTGCCTGCGTCACCACTCTGTCCGGGTTGGGGGAGAGGAAGGAAGCTCCCTGAGTGTCAGGCGCTGGGTGTGCATTTTACATAGGTGTCTCCTTTGACCTGGCAACAGCCCTCTGAATATTATCTCTTCAGAAGTATCATCAACCTTAGACAAGTTAAATAACTTATCCAAGATCAATCAACTGGAAATGGTGGAGCCAGAATTCAAACAACTCTGGCTGACTCCTCAGGCTCGCTCCTTTTCCTCTGCCAGGCAAGGAGAAGAGAGTGAGTCAGTGCTTAGTAAATGTTCAGCTCAGGGGAGGAAGCAGAAGGGAGTTTCCTTGGGAGGTTCTCTGTTTCCATGAAGTCGGTGGCGAGGCCACTGTGGGGGATTTGGTAAGAAATCACCCTGATGGAAGCTTTCATCCTGATAGGAGAGAAAATTAAAAGAAATAAAAACACTGGAAAAGGAAAGCCCTTAATAGGTTTGCAACCACCTGTGGCACCTCATGTTGGGAACTAATACTTAGGAATTTATCTATTGCAAGATACTTTTACACTTATCCCCATAATTGAAGGGTCTCAAGTTTTCACAATCCCCCCCTCCCACAGGAATCTCTAGCTCCTTACTACTCAAAGTGTGTTCTGTTGGACCAGTAATAGGGTGACCAACAATTCTGGTTGGCCTGGGGCTCAGGGTTTGCTTGGGACAAGGAAATTCCAGTGCTGAAACTGGGATAGTCCTGGGACATGTTGGTCGCCCTAACCAGTAGCACCCAGAAGCTTGTTAGAAATGGGGAATCCTGGCCTCATTCCAGATCTATTGAATCAGAATCTGCACTTGAGCAAAATCATGTGCCCATTCAGGTCTGAGAAGCAGTGCTCTAGATGAGACATGGGTGAAGTAGATCTAATAGTAGGCCCCTGTATTAGTCAGGGTTTTCCAGAGAAACAGAACCAATAGGATGTGTAGGTATATATAGAAAGAGGCTTATTTTAATGAACTGGATCAGATGATTGTGGAGGCTTGAAAGTCCAAAACCCAATGGGGAGGCAGACAGGCAGGAGATTCCGGAAAGAGTTGTCGTTTGAGTCCAAAGGCAGTTAGGCTGGAGACCCAGGAAGAGCCAATATTGTAGATGAAGTCCACTGGCAGAATTCCCTCCTGCTTGGTGGAGGTCAGCCCTTTGTTCCATTCAGGCCTTCAGTTGATGGGATGAGGCCCACCTACATCGTGGAAGACAGTCTGCTTTACTCAAAGTCTATTGATTTAAATGTAAATCTCATGCAAAAACACCCTCAAGGAAATATCCAGAATAATTTTTTGCCACACATCTGGGCAACATGGCCCAGCCAAGGTGACACATAAAATTAACCATCACACCCCCTCAAAAGATATGTCCTCGTCAAATCCTGGGAACCTGTGAGTGTTAACTTATTGTTAAAAAGTGTCTCCACAGGGGCACCTGGGTGGCTCAGTCGTTAAGCATCTGCCTTCAGCTCATGTCATGATCCCAGGGTCCTGGGATCGAGCCCCACATCGGGCTCCCTGCTCAACGGGGAGCCTGCTTCTCCCTCTCCCACTCCCCCTGCTTGTGTTCCCTCTCTTGTTGTCATGTAAGTAACTAAAATCTTAAAAAAAAAAAAAAGAATTCTCTTTCATATCTTGGATATAATTGTTGTCACTTCAAATAATCCAAAATGTGTTTAATCACTTTTAATAGATCAAATAATCTATTCTAGACATAATATCATGAAGATTAAGACTGAACTGACCTTCAGCACCAAAGAGACCATTCTTGTCTTTCTCAGCTTTTTTTAGCCTCCTTACCCCCATTTAAATAAAAAATCATGGGGTTAATATCCTACCCTATTCAGAAATCATCTCATCTCATTTTAATTGAACTCACTATTTACTGAGCGTCTACTATGTGCCTAGCATTATGCGAGATTTTGGAAATACAAAGATGAACGAAATGACTGTGGCCAGCCCTGATGGAGTTTACAGTCTACCTGAAGTGCCAGTCTGTTAAACCTATCCTACACTGAGCAGTGGTTCTCAAAGTATGGTCTGGGGACCTCTGGGAAGGGAGGAGGAGTCCCTGAGACACTTGAACGGCTGTTCGTGAAGTCCAAACTATATCCCTATATTCACTGTAATATAGCCTATTCTCGTTACGTGCAGTAGGATGTTCTGTAAGGTGACTGTGAATGCTGACTCAGTGAATACTAAACTGTGGCGCCCAAGGGAAAAATAGGATTATGTTCCTGCACATCTCTGGTCACATTTTTGTCAGTTGATCAATATAAAACCTGGTCTTCTGTGTGTTTCTGTTTAAAGGCACCTTAACATGAGAGGATGGGAGGCTCGTGGGCCATCTCTCATTCACCTCGCTAACTTTGCTGGGAGGATATCGTGACATGATTTCTTCTGGCCTTTTAAGTTCTGATGAAGTGAGAGGCTTTCTGCCCCAGTCTCCTCCAGACGGAACTTCAAAGCATCAATCTGCTCAGCCGCAGCCCAGAATGGGCTCTTCAGCGGCGGCCGGCCCGCATCTCACACTGAAGTCCACAGGGCCCGTTGTGTTTCTGTATTGTCCTTTCTGGTGTGTGGGACAAAGACCGG